ATCCAATTTAAAGAGTTCTATCTAGTATAGGTCATCTTTTCTTAATAGCGAGTCAAATATATAAGCGATCACATTTTTCTGATTGATGAGGACTTGAAGTCACGTAAAGCTTTTTGCTATGTATTCCATCAATATCATTATTACACGATAAAATTGATAAAAGTTAACTCGTTTGTATGTTTTTTGTTTATTTATTTAAATAATGCATAGTTTAATAAGTATCTTTGCTTCTTTCTAAATGTAAATTGTCCAAAACTTGAATAGTTTACCAAAAAAAAAAAAACAAGGAAACAAAAGCACCAACCAAGATAAATAAGTAAAATTACACGTAAACTATAAATTAGTCCTTCTAGTTTCAAGAAATAAATAAATTAATTTTTTTAAACTAATTATTTAGTCAATTGATTGGTATTGATCATGATCAATTTAACATTATTTTATTTTAAAAATTATTTTTTTCATTAGTTTTTCCATAATATCTATTTTTATTTTCTATTTTAAAATTAAAAAAATAAATTAGAAAAGAACATAAAATAGATAAAAAGACTAAATAATTAGTTTTTGAAAAAAATAATTAATTCATTTATCAAAACTAGACGTACTAATTTATAATTTACTCATAAAATTACTCCTTTTCATTTTTGATAAAACTCATAAAATTACCGTATATAAGCAAAATAAAAGGAATTCCATATTGTTAGAACCAAGTCCAGCGATCTGGCCGTGTGGCCACATTTTTTATTGGCCCCAGGCCACGCACTAAATGTTTGGCCCCAACGTGAAAAGTGGGAACTTTCAGTTTCGGCACCACTAGGACCACAGCGGCCGTGACCTTAACGGGCGGATGGGGTCAAAGTCGTCTTTGTGATGTACCCCAGTCTATTTTTATTCATTTAGCTTTGCCCAATCAATCAGTTTCTTCTCTCCTTCGTCGATGGAAAATTGAGAAATAACTCTTGTTTTTTTTTGTTGACCGACTTTGGAGTTGGGCCACAAAACTTAAACCTTTCATACATCCATTAACAAGTCATCGTTATTTTTATCATTATCTTTTTTTTATTATTATTATTATACAGTAAGTGATATCAGTTGACCAGATTGTCCATTAATTAGAATTAAACCCTATTTTCGAGCTATTTTAAAAATATAATTTTACATCAATCTAATATATTAAGATAATTTAATAATCTTTTTTAAATACTGATTTTAAAATTCGAACTACAAAAATCTAGGTAAAAAACAAATGTTTTTAACCACTCGACTAGACTATTTAAGTTTTTATTTTGACAGAAGACGATAGCACTTGAGCTTTATAATAAATAAATAATAATTTTTTTATTATATAATAATTAAATAAATTAAAATTATTCATACTCAAATATATATATTTTTTAAAAATTATTGAATATATAACTGGTAGATTATATCTACTTGTGTCCAACTCTTGAAATTGAAAATTATTGTTTCACATAGCACATGAAGTTCTTGAGTGATCTGATGAAAAAGTGCATTTCAATTATATAATAATCAAATATAAAGTTATTGAAATTTAAATATAATTTAATAAATAAAATTATTAAGTATACAGCGTTAGATTACACGTGATTGCGCCAAACTCTTGAATTTGAAAGTCATCCTTCGAATGGAAAATCATTGGATTAATTTCAATGGGTCCGCTGCTTGATTGACGGCCGGCTGCTAGTATTCCCAATTGCCTTACTCGATGAAATTGGGAAAATTTTAAAATACTATATAATAATTATTTTATAAATCCATATTAAAAAAAAATTAAGTCTGTATCTACTAAAAAAATAAAAATATTTGTATTTAAACTTAAATTTGATTTTTTCTCTTATTATTAGTTTTGTCTATTTCTCTTTTATAAAATAAATACTAATAATTACTCTTAAAATAATATAAAATATAAAATTTCTCGTGAAAAAGCACTGCTTGACAATTTATAGTCCTACCAAAAGGGAAAATTGTGTGCTTTACCAAAGATGCACTTTAAAGCATACTCATTAGTATTTCTGACTTTAGGCAGTTTTGTTTGCTCTCTAAGGCATTATTTTGGATTTTGGGTTCATTTTAAGAAGCAGATAGGAGATTTTTTTTTTTTTTTTATTGTTTCTCATGAAACACTAATTTTGGATGCGAATAATCTTTTTAAAACCTCTATTGATTAATCTCGGTATATAAAAATCAATTCAAGATACTCAAACAAGAAAACTCGAAATAATAAGTATATCCATTAATTATCTGATTAAATAACAAATCAAGATTTTTTGTAGAAAAATTTTAAAAGTACCAAAAAATGAATGCAGAGTTTTGTTAGAGATACAAACACCGGACTGTATTTATTTTGGTGGACCTTGACCAGTTTAATTTTTTTTTTTTTTTGGTCATGACAAACCCTGAATCGAAGGAGGAGGTGAAACAAGTACTTGTTCACAGCCAGTCAGCCACTCTATTTGAACGTTATGCTCTTGGTCCCGAGCCTTTGACTTTAAAATGAAAAGCAAACACAAGAACAATTTTTTTTTTTTTTTATAAATGTAAATTTGAATAAAATTTAGTATCTCTGGATACTTGATAGTTGACATGAAAATAATTTTACTTAAAAAATAATAATAAAACATTAAAAAACATCAAAGAAAAAATAAATATAGCAGTGATAGCAAATGACAATAAAACTGAAGGAAGGGGACCAACATATTATAATAGAACTACAAATTAGAATTAACAATAAAAACAAATACCTCTAATTTGCTGCTAAAGAAACAAATTAGATAAAAAGAAATTTTTAATTATATGTTTTTAACTATTATCATGATTTAATATTTTAAATTTCGTCTACTTTGTATCATTTTAGCTCAATTTAGCTTTTTTTTAGTACTATAATTCGTATGTATTTTTAAGTCAATTTCGCAGGTTAATAAAGATTAATCCACTATGTTTTTACTAGGTTTTAGATCAGGTTAGTAACAAAAACTATCAATCAAACTAAATTAATTTTCTGTTAAATCAATTTAATTATGTTGCATATACATTTGGTATGCGATAAAATATAATCCTTGACAGTTGAAATTCTTATGAGAAAAAAATAATAGCCCCATGATTCAAGTAAAATTACGAATAAAATTTTTTTATAATAAATTTATATATTAATATCAGTATTGATGATATAAATAAATAAAAAGGAAAGGAAGGAGAAGCCGTGAGCTCCATGAAATCTAAAAAACCCACCCGTTTTAGGCATTAAATCAACCATCGCAGGACCGGTTATGGAGTAGTCAACAACAAAAAAGCCGCCATGTCAAAAAAAAAAAAAAAGAAAAAAAGAAAAGGGCTTATTGTTTTTTATCGAAAAAAGGTGACGGTTTTTCCATAGTATTTATCGATCTTTTGGATAATTAAAGAATTAATTAATTTTTAATAAACTGAAATCCAACCCAACCAGAGACGGTTTTTCCATAGCTTTTATCGATCTTTTGGACAATTAAAGAATTAATTAATTTTTAATAAACTGAAATCCAACCCAACCAGCTTGTAGTCCTAGTAGGTGCAAGGCAACTACAACAACAAAATAAGAAGGGAAGGCAAAGGAGATTAGATTTCAATAAATCTACGATTCTTCTATCGATCTCCAATCCTCCCCTCCCGCTTCCACGATCTTGTTGCTTCTTAGCTACAGCGTTACCAGAAAACGCAACGAAAAGAAAACAAACCAATCCCATCTCTCTCGCTCTCTCTCTCTTTTATTTGTTTTTTTGGAGCTGGAGAAGGCGGGCGCAGACTATCACGAGTTTTCTTCGTTTCAATTCTCAGAGAAACTCGTGATTTCTTCTACGCTTTCTGTTTCGCCTGATCCCTATCTCTCTTCGCCGTTATCAATCTATCTTACTTTTCATGTGCGTTTTTACTCTCCTTATTTCTCCTCGCTGCATAATTATAATTATTATTTATTTTGATTGCTTCAGCCTTCTTCAAGTTTAAAGAAGTAAACTACGTATTTAGCTTTGATTAAGGAAGGATTGGCTTCCTAATTTTATTTTATTTTTTATCTGTCTATTGATAACAACTAGTTGTAGTAATTGATGTTTATTGAATTTAATGGAATTCTTAAGCAGCAGCTAACTTTAAGGTTTGGCTTGTGTTTCTGGTCGTTTCCATCTCTATCTTAGAATCTAAGCTACTACAGTTGTTATTAATTTATTTCCTCTTAAAAGAGTAAGGTTTAGGTGTTGTTAGTCAAAATAGGCATGGGGATTGCTTAATAATGGAGGTACTAAATTGAGGGATTTAACCAAATTGCAGGCAGTTTAAGAGGGAAGAACCACATGCTTTTATTTATTTATTTAGTTTTCAAGTTTTTTCATTGCTAGTTGGTGTGCATGATAAATTCAACAACTCTGGATTGACTCGAGATGTAGTGAGGTAGAGTGAATTGCTTCTGGGAAGGAGACGTTGAAGGCTCCCTTTTGTGTTCTTTCCGGGGGACTCTTTTTTTTTTTTTTTCCCCTTCCATTATTACTTTGTGACAGAATTACCATCTGCTGGTATTTGAATAATATTATTAGTGGTGTGGCTATCATTGCATTCTGTAGTGACAATAAAGTTTAATTTTTCATCTTGATATGCAAAATTATTCCTTTACACTGATTTTCCTGTTTTACCATTCCTTTTGTATCAGGTTTGGCATTTCTTTGACCTTGTAAGCAGGAAGCTTTCTCGCTTGCTGCATTTTGATTCTTATTTCTTGTCAATAATACAATCTGGAAATTGTAGATACAATGGGAATCCTTACACGCAGGTTCAGACATCTGATAGTTTTGTTTTTTTTCTTTTTTATAGAAAGAGCTCACCCTTTTTATGTGTGCGCTTTATATTCTCTCCTTTGGACAAATTTTTTTTTTTAGGTCTAGATTTGATGACAACTTTACCAATGAAATATGCCCATATTGTGTTGCAGTACTGGTAGTAGAAAACCAAATGAGACCATGAGGATAATCTTAACTACCTTCCTTGGAGTAGTTTTTGGCTTCTTGATAGGAGTGTCTTTTCCGACCTTGTCATTGACTAAGGTATTTTTCCTGTGCGATTTTTTCTTTCTTTTCTTTTTTTCTTTTGTGTGTGTTCTCTTTTTTCACATTATATGATGACTATACTATTCAGTTTAGATGCTTTCTTTTAGTTAGTTTATAGAAGATTTAGTTCTCTCTAAATTTTTGGCAGCTGAATATCCCTTCCAGCTTCCTTCCTGTCACTGATAACTCGTACAATGAGGACAACAAATCAGGACTCTCACCTCAAACCACTTTGAGTACATGGTCTTCTACGAAGGTTAACAGCAGTAGCTCAACGCAGGCACCAAATTTGAACAATACATCACAGGTATGCCTCCTTTTCTGAATCCTGACATCATTATACACAGATCCTTTGCATGATGCTTTCAGTACAAGATGAAGGATGTAGATGGATCAGGATCTTGAAAAAAAGAAAAAAGTGCATCTGTGATCACATGAGGAAAAAGCATCAACTTTGTTTTAAGTTTTAACTAACATTGAACTATTCTTCTAGCTCCAAACAAAACATTTTGCACTGTTTGGTGCTTTGTTTCCCTTACTTTTCATGCCACTCTAAACATTCTCATGCTGGAAACAAATGGACATGAATGCTTAGTTGCAATCCTTCAAATATATGGGAAAATGTTAAAATAAAAATGAATGTATTTGTGATGTCTACTTGAGTTTTTAATTAAGTTCCTGACATCTGTACTTGTGTTGAAGCAACACAGGTTTTTTTTTTAACAGAAATGATGTGGCTCCGTACAGGCACCCAAATTACGGTGTTTAAAGAGTATATTCTATGTGGTAACTATATCTGGGGTATATGTATTATATTTATCTCCTTTACGGTGTGATCAATATATTATCACAAAACTCGTATTACTATGAGCTGTATTACTTGTGTTGAATAAATTGAAAACCTCAAGCAGATACAGATACTTCAGTGTACAGTATGATCTTTTAATTAGAAGCAAGAAATTTGGAAAAAATAAAAATAAAAATGAACTTACCCCTGCGGACTTGTATCTGACTCTATCCAAGTTTGAGCAACATAGGTACAACTGTTGTATACTATTTTATATCCATTAAATGCAAAATCATGTACTAAATATAATTTTTGTCTGAGATGTTTGCATAAGATGAATAACACTGTTTTCCACATATATGGAAAAACTAAAATAATATGTGTTCATTCAAAATTTCACTCTAACCTTTTGCTTTTGCCTTCTGCTATTCACAGATTTGGGTCCCTACGAATCCTCGTGGTGCAGAAAGACTAGCACCAGGAATTGTTGCAGCTGAGTCAGACTACTATTTGCGCAGATTGTGGGGTAATCCCAGTGAGGTGAGCATTCTGCAACCACTCTTATATGCAATATTCAACTTTTTAACTCCCTCATACGCTACATGCAATTTTCTACTGCATACCAGTTTGGCCTAGCTATGTAATGCACAGACTGCTCTTTTGGTTTTGAATGGTACAATAGTTGTGATTAAATTTGTTGGTGATAATTTTAGATCACTTGTAAAATAGTAAGTACTAATTTTGTTGTTAAGCTAAGGGGGCTAGCTGGAAAATGTTGCATTTAATAGAGTTACAGTGGTTCTATGGCTCATAAACAAGAAAGGAAAAGAAAAGAAAGCATGATTGCAATGAACGCTATCCCTAGATCCTTTTCCTAGATACTTTTAATGGAAAAACGGAATTTGAAAATATGCTGAGGCCAAGTTAGATTTTAGAAAATCAGAATAGCAACTTATGAAATCTTCATTCAAGTGGATACAGAACATCGAATTGAAGCTACTAGCTGACTATTATTATGTATAACATTACTCTATAGAAAACTTGGGAGGGCAAGAGTTCTTTCTCTTGGCTTCCTTTATTTTCTTCTTCTTCTTCTTTTTTTCCACATAGTTAATGTGATGCTTTAGAATATTACTCCATCAAATGATATTGTTGATGACTAGATGCCTAACTGTTTACTTTTGTTGATTTTATTCTTTTTGTGAAACAAATATCCTCCATTGCTCAATTATGATAACAGATTAATCATCCTCAAATAACAATTGTAGTGGTGTAGTAGTCTTTAATTGCAATTTTGAGATATTTGATCAAGTTGCATTTGCAGGATTTGACTGGTGCACCAAAATATCTTGTAACCTTTACTGTTGGCTACGATCAGAGAGAGAATATTGATGCATGTGTTAAAAAGGTCAGTCCTGTGGTGTGTGCATGTTTATGAGCTCATGGCAGCCTGTATGAGCATGTGAATAAGTTTGTCTCTCTCACAGTTTTCAGAGAACTTTACTATCCTCCTATTCCATTATGATGGACGAGTTTCTGAATGGGATGAATTTGAGTGGTCCAAGAGAGCTGTTCATGTGAGTGCCCGGAAACAGACTAAATGGTGAGTAACTATTGCTGACTTCTATTTAAAAATTTAAGGTCACAGATTAAATTTCCTGCTTGTCTATCCCAGGGGAGAAAAAACCTGTTTAACTCATGGCTTCTGTTTTATTTGACTAATGCTTGTAAGTTTAAACTCTGAAATTTTTCCCTAGGTGGTATGCTAAGAGGTTTTTACATCCTGATATTGTGGCACCATACGACTACATATTTATCTGGGATGAAGACCTGGGAGTTGAGCATTTCAATGCGGAAGAGTATGTGTTAGATGTAAAATAGTTTTTTTATGGTTATGCTGGCTCACTGGTCTAAAAACTTTGCCACTCTTTCTTGTACACTTATAGATATATAAAACTAGTGAAGAAGCATGGCTTGGAGATTTCACAGCCTGGTTTGGAACCTAACAAAGGGTTAACATGGCAGATGACAAAGAGAAGAGATGATCGTGAAGTTCACAAGTAAGGATGATGGAATACTGCCCCTAAAAGATATTTTGTTTTTTATTTTTTATTTTTTATTTTTGAAAAGAATGATGGAATGCCCACATCATTTTTTCAGGAATGTTTGTATTTGATTCACATTTTGTTTAGAAAACAATGATGGAATTATGATTGGCTTATGAACTAACGTTTTTATCTCTTTCCCTGAATTTCTACTAGAATAACAGATGAGAAACCAGGCTGGTGCAGTGACCCACATCTGCCACCTTGTGCAGCGTACGAACGTCTTTAACTATTGCTTCTGTTATTGTTGTTTTATACCTTGGCTGTCTAGTTCTTTATTTGACTATGTTGTAGAAGGCTTAAAGAGCTTATTCTCTTTTGGATTCAGGTTTGTTGAAATCATGGCTCCGGTGTTTACACGAGATGCTTGGCGCTGTGTGTGGCATATGATTCAGGTATGGATTCCTGTGCTACCATTGCTCACTTTATCACTTTTAAGAATTCGCTCCTTTACTCTTTCTCCCTCAGCATATGGCACTAAAGTTTGTTTGCTTTATGGAATTTGCAGAATGATTTGGTCCATGGTTGGGGCCTTGATTTTGCTCTTAGAAAATGTATAGAGGTAGCTGACCTACTTCGATCTTCGTTGATTTATTTCTTCTTTACTTTGAATTCTTATTGGTGACATTAACATGAAACTCTTTAATTGAATTTCTCTTTGAAAAATAGCCTGCCCATGAGAAGATAGGAGTTGTAGATTCTCAGTGGATTGTTCATCAAACTATTCCCTCTCTCGGGAAGCAGGTAAATGGATACGATCAACCCTCAGTGAATTTCCTCTGTTTTAAACCCTATTATAAACTCCAATTACATGTTGGAATCAAATACTTGTTTGCTTCTCCAGGGTGAGTCACACAATGGGAAGGCACCATGGCAAGGGGTATGCAAAGTTTTTCTTCACTATCAGTATATGTTTTTTAATATCATTTTGTTTGCATTTCATCACAAAGCGTCATTTGCTATTACAAACCATCCACACACTCAATACTGTCATTGAGTGACTGTGTGCAAAAGTGCAAGAATACTTTTTTCATCTTTCCGTTTCTCAAGTATCAACTGTCTTAGTGCCTGTGTTTTCCAGACTAACAAACTCAAAAAAAATTCAAATTTGCTGTACAAAACCAGAGCCAACTGGTCTGTTAATCAAATATGGTAACTTTCTCTGCTGGTGCCAGGTAAGGGAGAGGTGCAGGAAGGAGTGGACTATGTTTCAGAGCCGGCTGGCGAATGCAGAAAAGGCATATCTTAGGGCAGCAGGACTTGATCCTTCCAACTCTAAGGGTCACTAGAGAAGGGAAATTATAGAAGCTGAGTGTACACTAAAATAACCACTACACAGATTAGGTTTGATATAAATCTGTAGAGTTTATCATTGTATGACAGTTATTTATTAGTGAATCACATTTTTTTCACCAGTTAATTTAAATACATCTCAAACACTTGTAGAGTTGTGCAGGAGAAAGAAATTCCTCTTTTTCTCCTCCTTCAAGGTCAAGGTCCTTTTTGGTGTTAATGAAGGTCTAGGTCCTTGGTTTTGAATTAATCAGGGCTTTGGTCCTGCACCAAGATAAATTTTCCCCATTTTCAGGAGCTAGCCTATTTCAAAAAATTGGGCATCCTGTAACTAAACGTCGCTTTCATGTTTTCAGCAATGATGAACGCTGTGTAAAATAAGCTTCAAGATTGAATAAGGCTGTCTATGGGAAGGTAATATCTGTGCACTTCCAGTATGGCATGTTTATTTCTTTCGAGGGTGGGACCAGATGAACTGCGCTTTCTAGGTCGATTTCAGTAAAAAGTTTCAGGCTGATTGGCTGTCTGACAAAAAGGCATCTTGTACTCGCTCTCTTCGCTGGCTGCAGAAAAGATCTCGTGAGAATCCAGTTAACTTCAGAGGAACATGTTGAGTTGGCTTTTGTGTTGACATCGAGAATCAATTTTTTTCATAGATCAGTCTTAAAGATGCATTTTACGTGTATCCAGTAAAATAATTCTCTTCAATATGGATCTTAAACTTTGAACTCCAAAGAAAAACATCACCAGGTCTAAGCTTTGAGGCCGAGAGGTCAGTCCAATAGCATAGTATCGTCGAACAAAAGCGCATTCCTTGACTATTACTGAAACCGGGGATGACCACGTGCAGTCCTTACAGTTGTTTTTTTGGCCATTTTAGCCCCTTAACTAAAACTTTTGGCATTCCAACCCTTATAATTTCCAATATGTGGTTCCTCGAGCCCTCCACCCACCTATATGTGTACTTTTGAAAGCTTCTAGCCATCCGTATAACGAGTGTAATGTGTAAAGAGAAACCCAAACAACCACGAAGACCACAAAGCGGAAGAAGGAGGGCTGGGATGTCCAAGCTCACCGAAATTAAAAATCGGAGGCCCACATAGGTAATTTACCTGATTTTTACGGGGGTAATGATGCCCGAAACTCGAAAACTTTTTCCAGTTGGAGCCAACCGATGTATAATCTGGCTTGCCGTATTTTTTATATTTAATTTATAATAAGGGTGTTTTGAATCAGTTTATACGTTGACGATTTTAATGACGTATTTTTAACATTGATACAGTATATTTAAATAAATTTAATAAATTCTTTTAAATACGACCTTCAAGGTTTGAATTTAAAAAATCAAGAAAAAAAAGAATAAATTTTTCTAATCATTAAGAATTACATACCCTATTTTTTAAGGTATCGTTTGCTTATTAGAATAACAAAATTTTAGAATAAAAATATAAAAATTGAAATAAAAATTAAGAAGTTGAAATGATATTTTTATTTTTATATTGTATTTGAAATAATAATAACAAATTCGAATAAAATTTAAGAATCCTAAAATTTAATTTTAAATTTGTCGCTTTTAATCATTAAGTCAAATCCTCGGAATTACCTCTGGTATTTCCTAAAGTGTCATTTGGTTACTAAAAAATAAAAAGTTCAAAATTAAAATATAAGAATCGAAATAAAAATTAGCAATTCAGAATAAAATTTTTATTTCAATATCGTGTTTAAAATAATAATAATAAATCATAATGAAATTTGAAAGATTTAGATTCTAATTTTAATAAGAAGAATAAAAATAATAATTAAAAAAATAATTTAATCAATCACAATAGTAGTAAAAATTATAAAAGTAATTATGATAGTAGTAACGGAAATGAAAGAGGAGGTTGTGGTGGTGGGTGTAATTATAATAATAGTATAATATTAATTAATAATATATTTTAAAAATTGATGTTTTTATCATAAAAGGTGATCATAAAAGAAGAATAACAATATAATATATGAGATAAAGATAACAGAAGAAAAGTAGTGAAAAAATAATAATAATAAATTTTATTTTTTTATTATCATTATTGATGAAGTGATGATAGCATTGATAACTGAGAATGTGATAATTATAAAAGTAATTGATATATAATAAATAAATAAAAATAATATATTTTTATTTTGAAGAAAGAAATATTTTTATTTCTTCTCTTATTATTTTTTCTACTTTTTTTTTTTTTAACCAAGCATGCATAAAATAAAAATAAAACATTTATCTCTATTATCATACTTAAATTTCATTTATTGTTATAAAAAAGCACCTAATTCTGATTAAACTTGGCATTCTCTGACAAAGTTAGTGATCCGACCTCAAAAGAGATATCATAATGGGGCTTCTGTTTTGGTAAACAAAACGCATCGTAAGTGGAATAGATTACAGACATGAAAGGCTGGTCCCAGTCGAGCTCATATGATTATAGGAAGGTGGACAAGAGACCTAAAAGGAGGAAAACATCACTCCCAAGAATCAAGAAACTTCCGCTTAACTTAGAGGTCTCTAAACTTGCCATCTGGCACGACCTCCTTCGCCCCCGCAAAAACTCGAAGACACGTGCCTCTCATTAAAACAAACCTACTTTATTCTCTATGTGAGAATACCCCCAGTTCTGTCCTTGCATGCTTGATGCTGCTCAAATTACATAAGTGAATTGTGATTCCTCAAGTTTCAGATTTTGGTCAGATTATCCCTTATAAGAAAAAACAAAATGTAAAACACCACAATTTGAAATTTCATTTCCAATAAAGACAACAAAAATCAAAATTATACCTAATAAATGTTCCATTTTGTTACTTTATAGTTCTCAATAAAATCTTAATCAATTATTTAACTTAATTAATAAAAAAACACTAATTTAAAAGAGAATTAAGACACCAAGAGGTGTTTTCTTTACCGATACTTGAATGTAGTTTTCATTAAAACAATTATAATCAACATTATAGATTATCTTTTTACAATGACCAATTTAATTTTACTAATTGGTTATATTTTGATTTATTGAGAACATAACTTACTCTTTTTTTTTGTTAAAAAAAATACTAATTCTAATCGAAGTTCTATTATCACCGTGATCCTTATAATGGATAATGTTGTAAAGTTAAAATATAGTTTTTATTGTTATTTTCTTTTTTTGTATCAATGTTTTTTTGACTTCATACTTTTCTATGAGTTATTCTCTATAACACAATTTTTATTTAACAAAAAAATCAAATTTTTTTTTAGGTAAACTTGAAGGTTGTGGCTTTTTTTTTTTAAATCAACTGCTAATTTTTTTTTTTTTTTATAAAAAATATAAGGTGCTGTTTTTAGGAACTGACTTATGTATTTTTTGAGAAATTATCGTATTTTAAAAAGAATTTATTTTTTTACTTTTTAATGCCAATATTGTTTTTCAAATTATTTTTTATTTGTTTATAATTTTTTTTAATACATGTGTCACTATCATGTTTGTTAATTGGAGTTAATTGGTAGAGTCGATCAATCCCTAACTCTGTGACCATGATCCTGTTCATGAAGAAAGCATAAGGCTTTGGTTCCCAATTGTTTTAGTTAGGCACTATTATAACCAAACTCCAAAACTAGAGGGACCGCATGTTTAAGTTATACTCTATTACAATCCATCATCAATCACTACTCATAGAAGCCCTACACGTGTCGCCACGTGTAGCTCATCATGCTGAGGCTTGTGAACCAGAGTTAACATACTGGTGGTTTAGGATGGGCCTGTGTATTTATCTCGAGGACCAACCTAACTGAAAGACGACGAGGTTTAATTTGATCTAGCTCCATATTCTTTGTTCTCTCTCCTCTTTCTTCAATTTGGCAAAACTGAGTGCCTGAATTAATAGATAGGAAATGGGGCTCTCAAGTTTCCCTATCGCAGCTGAAGGAGTGCTACCTGTGCTAGTAATGAACACAGTCTTATCAGTTGCTCTACTTAAAAACATGGTGAGGTCAGTGCTACAAGTGATGGGTGCTAGTTGGACTCCTCCGGATTATGAGGAGGAACCAGATGGACACGATCCACAAGAAAATGGGAGAGAGAGAAGAATATCAATAACCCAGTTCAAGTCCTTGAACCAGAATAACAGCAGTACTTGCGGGGGGCTCCTAGTACAATGGAATGTTGTGTGTGTCTATGTGGGTTTGAAGCTGAAGAGGAGGTGAGTGAGCTATCTTGCAAGCATTTCTTCCACAGAGGTTGTTTAGACAAGTGGTTTGATAACAAACATACTACCTGCCCTCTTTGTCGATCCATCCTTTAATTAGATTCATAAATTTTGTCCTAGATGAGGGTTGAGGATTTTGAAGGAATATCAATTGTGTTCACTTTATGGTTTTGTTTTTTTAATCTTTTTTTTTTCACCCCTCCATGTTTGATTTTTGAGCAAAATTAGAGAAAGGTTGTGATCTTGCTTTATTTTTTTGTGTAAGATATCTTATGTACCAGTGTTCCAAGCAAAGACTGTAGCTAGGAGAACAGAAAAAATTAAGGGGATTTGAAGTCTTTCGTGCATATCTTATATTGTTTATGCTGTCTTTTATAAAGTTCAAACGTTTGGAAAAAAAAAAAAAAATTGAAAGTATATTTTAAAAATCCGAAAAGCTGCCAACGGGGTCTTTTATTTTCAGTTAAAAATTAATTGGAAACAATTTTTTAAAGCAGTAGTTCAAAACTTATTGAATGATGCATCAATGGAGAAAACAACAACAGGATGTCAAAGCAGCCTCAAATACTTTCTTTGTCCGGTTTAAATTGCTTTGAATACCCCATGCTTTGAACATGGTAACACTTTAACTCTCATTTTTTTAATTTACACTGTACATCTTATAAATTTAAATTTTACTATAGAAAACATTATATTTTAACTCCGTTTAACTAACACAAGTTTCCAAAAAAAAAAAAAAATGCAATTAAATTATTATAAATATACCATTACAACTTTTATAATAGCAAGAATATTTTTTTAAAAGTATTTATGTCTCTTAAAAAGAAAATAAAGCATAAATAAGAACGGTATGCTATTGACAAAACAAAACAAATCTATCAGCCACCATTTCTATTGCTATCCGACATATAAAAATTTTAGATTTAAAAGATTTAAAATAATAAAGTGGTTATTTAATATTAAAGCGAACTAGAAAATTTAAATGATTGCTCTTGTAGTGTTTACGAGTAAAAAATTTGTTATATTTATATATATATATAAATAAAAGTCACTCAAAAAACATCATTTCTTTAGAATTTTTTTTTTTTACAAAATTCTTCTCTATTTCTAGTCATTTCTTAACAATTATTATTTGTCAAACTATTTTCTAAACCTATTTATGAGTTTACTTATCTATTTATTATAGAAGTCATTCTAATTCTAGGGCTTCACAAATGATTTATCATTTATTGTGAAATCATGTTAAATTATCATCAGATTTTGAAATCAAAAGTCACATCAATTTAATATTAGATCTAGTTATAATACTGCCATAATTATTATTATAACCTATTTTTGGCCCTCTAAAAATTATTTTAGATATTTTCATAAATTGTTTTGATTTATTGCATAGTGTTGATTTTACTTGAATTTATTTTTATCATTAGCCTTTAATTTTGATTTAATTTTATTTATCATCTTGTCATAAATACAAAAAAACAAAAAAAAAAAAAAGAAGAAAAGAATAAGAAGAAAAAAGAAAAAAAAACTTGAAAAGAAAAGAAAAGATGATCAATTTCAGCTTGGTTAAAGGATCCAATTGAAAACTAATTTAAAAATTATGAAGTCAATTTGGGAGCACTAGAAATCCTGAAGAAACAATTGAAAGCAATGAGAGATCAATTCATAGATATTAGAACAAGAGGAACCAAAATGCTTTAAATAGAGGCATTTAATTGCAGAAAAAAATAAAAAATAACAAGACTAAAATAGAAAAAGAGCACGAATAGGGAGACTATTTTCAACCTGTCAAAACATCTAAAACACCACACTTCCTCTCCCTCCTCTAACCTCGTTGGCATATTTATCCACATTCACATATCATGTATCAACCTTATCTTTCCAACATTTAAACCAAAAACACAAGATAACAAAATTTGTCTTTAATATCTCTTGATTCTCTCAACTCATAACCTTGTAAGTACAAAAGATAAAAGAGCATGTAAAGCCAAGAGAAGAAAGGGACAACATTGATTATCTCACATTCATGAAGAAAGAAAGGTTCGGATGGAGAGAAGAAGATCTAAAGGTGGAGAATGAAGCAAGGGTAAGATAAAAATCAAGAGAAAAGAAAGAGAAAGGGGCTAGTATTTTTGAAGGGTGGCTAGGTTTTTTTGAGAGAGAAAGAGTGAGAGCAAGAGAAAAAGACAATAAACACACAAAAAAAAAAAAAAAAAAAGAGCTTAGAGATGAAGAAAAGAAGAACAAGTGAAAAGAAAAAGAGAAAACATTATCCAAACATCTTGATAAGTTTAAAAACAAACTAATATATCAACTCTAAGCTTGTTAACTATTTTTGAATTTCAATAGGTAATCCTTTACTTTTTTTACTTCATTCCTTGTCAATTTTAATAAGAAAAATGCATTTGGATGTCCTTTGATGCTAATGAATCTTATAGTCAACCTTAATTCTAATAAATATAATTGCTATGTATGTTTTGCATATTTGGTACAACTCTAGACGTTTTTATTTTTTGAATGTTTTTCATGAATACCATTTATTTTTCTTCAAGTTGTGTGTGAAATTTTAGATCTTTAGGACATAAGATAGTTGTCCATTTAAATCATCTTGTTGTCTATTGTAGCACTAATTTTTCAAGTAAAAAATAGCTACCGTCATGTTTTACATGTTTGATATAGTCTCAAATATTTTTATGTTTTGATTTTTTTATGATGACACCATCTACTTGTCTCTTATCTATATGTGAAATTCAAATATTCATGATATATGATGGTTGTCTATTTAAGTTACTTTATTGGCTACTATGGTATTGATTTTTCAAGCCGAAGGTGACTACTATTGTGTTTGACGTGTTAATTATAGCCCTAGATGTTTTTACTTAATTTTTTTTTATATGAACATCATCTATATATCTCTAATCCAAATGAGATTTCAAATCTTTACAAGATAGGTTGGTCGTCTTTTTAAATCATTGTGTTTTTTTTTTCAACATCAATGATTTCTTAATCTAGAAATAACTACTATTGTATTTAGTATGCTTGATGTAGCCCTAGATATTTTTACCTCTTGATTTTTTCAATATGAACATAATCTATTTTCCCTAATATTTGTGTTGAATCTAATATTTTTAGGGCATATGATGGTTTTCCAATTAAATTATTTTGTTAGCTAGGAGAGTAATAACTTGTCAAACCAAAATTGGTAACTCGTTATATTTTGCATGTTTGATATATCTCCGAATGTTTTTACATTCTAATTTTTTTGTATGAGTATCTTCTACTGACCTTTGAGTTAGACTCAAAATTGTAAAATTTTAGGATGTGTTTTGGTCTTTTATCTAAATTTTATTTGATTATTGATGCATTTATCATGCAAGACGTGAAATCATCGGGACGATTTCATGTAATTTTTTAGTTCTAATTAATAAAAAGCATCCAATCTTGGTTAATTAAAAAAATTAAATCAAATTAACGAGTCTCTTATTTAATAGAGATGGACTTGACACCTTAATGAAAAAAAAAGAATTAGTTAGGATAGATATGGACCATTGTACTATAGCATCCAACTTTAACCTTCTTAGCAAATTAGATAATTTCTCAACGTGCCAATTGTGTCGGAATATAATTGAATTCAATGCTAAATTGACGAGACTCCTGGTTTTGGGGTCCGACACCAATTTAATACGATTTCATAATAAAAATAAAAAAATAAATTTTGAAACCATTTATCATCCGTATCTAAATTAAAATACCTTTAGTTACTAGATCGTTCTTTACATGCCAATCATATCGGGACATAATTAGATTCGATACTAAATTAACGAGACTCTTAGTTTTGAGACATGACATCGATTTAATACGATTATATAGTAAAAATAAATAAAAAATTAATTTGACCTAGATGACGGACAAGCTTGAAAATATAACTAGCAAGTAATTTGAAAAATATAATTTTTAAGAGAGATTTTTAGAATTTGACTAAACTAGATATCTTTTCTTGAAAAGTGCATATTTAAGTGATTATTATCTTTTTAAAGACAATCAATTTCTTATCCGAAATCTTTGATTCTAGTGTCTTTCGTTGGTTTTTTAGTTCCCTTTAATACTAGGTGATGACTTTAAATTTTTTAATTTTTTTCCTTTAGTCAAAATTTTGAAAGTGTCATATATCGGGTAATGACAAGTATAATGACTCCACTAGACATTCGGAATTAGACCATAGATTTAGTCTCTTTTTAAGTTTATCTCTTCGATTATATTTGTCATTTATCTTCAAGTTCGTTATTTTCTAAGTATTTATTTATTATTAATTTTAATTCAAGTCATTTACTTTACATAATTTATTTTTATGCATTTATTTATTATATTTTAGGAATTGGGTTTGATTCTTATTTGATGTTATCACACACATCATGAGAGAGAAACACATAAAAGCTTTAGACTCGAGTTAAAACCTTATTAGGATTTAGGTATGGAGATATGAATGACGAGTGTGATGAAAGTCTACCGATATTCATTTGGGCTTTTGCTTGGATTGAAACTCATTTTACATATGAGAAATTATAAAAAGTTCTTCCCGTACCTCTCATTGCATAAGGTCGGAGGCTAGGTTACTTTACTAGTAATTTAGACAATCTTGGGGTTTGAAAAGCCTTCAAGATTAGATAACTTTGGAAAAATCCTATTAGAAAAACTAGATTCTATCCACTAGCATTGACCCATTAAGACATGCACTTTTTTTGAGGTGTTGCTTATTCTAACCTTTGTTTTGATAGTTTCTTATCTAAACAAATTATTTGAAACTTACAACATTAAGCTAGTGTATTCAACCTTATTCACATTATGCTTGCATGCATTTATCTTGTATATTTATTATAGATAGTTGTTTTGAGTTCACAATAGGTCAAAATATTGGTTGTCCTGTCAAAACTCAACTCCCTCCCCGAGTACACTACAATCAACTCCGGAAAAGCCTAATGGAGGACGAAGAGAGGACAT